GTGATGTCCGCCGGAGTGGTCTCACTGCGCATATATGACTGGGCCCCGGTGTTATCCGGATGGGAGCGTTTCTTTATGTACCAGAGAACCAGGGTTATGAAGATAACGAAGAGGAGGACACCCAGAATCACAGAGGCCGCTATACCCACCACCTGCGAAATCAGATCCAAGGGCGGCCTCCGGGTCAGTGGAGTCCCGGGCGGAGGAGGCCTGGGTTGAGGAGGCCTGGGCCGCGGAGTCGGGGGCGGCGCAGGCACCTCTTTATCTACAACATAGAGGAGAATGTATCCCGGTTCGGAGACAATGTCGGGAGGGTTTTTGACATCACAGATGAAGTAACCGCTATGGTCATACTGCATATTTTGTATTTTGATGGATGCGTCTTTGTTGCGGAGGTCTCCAGCCCAGGTGACCCTGTCCATGAATAGCGGGTCATCCCCGTGGAACACTTGACCATCCACGAAGTGGAAAAAGGACACGGTGGTGTTGGACTCAATTGGCTGGAAGCTCCAGGAGACTGTGGTCGCCGGGCCTGTGGTGATCTTAGACTCGAACTTGCAGGACAGCACCCCTTGTGACCCAAAGACCACATATATTTCTTTTGGGGTGATTACCTCCAAAGCTGATACTCCAGCAGTCAACAGCCCAAGTGCTGCCACCAGCACTGCCAGCACCAACCACACACAGCGCCAGCGGGCCGCGGTGGCAGTGTCCACCCCAGCCCCTGCCCAGGCGGGCGGCGCCCACATCCTTGTCCGCTCTGCCCCGCGGCCACGCTCCAGGCTGCTGAGCTGCCGTTGGCTCCACGCAGGGGCACAGCCTTGCCACCACCCCGCGCGCTCGGTGTTCCCTCAGCGCTGCGCTGTCATAATACTTTACCTCCTATAATCCTAACACAGGTGCTGTGAGATAGGTGTCATCATTAGTTTCCATATTTCAGGTGAGAAAATCGAGGTGAATAGAGATCAAGAAACTTGCTTAGAGTACGTGGCAAATATGGGACAAGAGCTGGGATTTGAGCGCAAGAAGTTTGGTTTCATAATGTTCTTTACCATTTACACCAGTCTCCAAAATGAATTTTTCAACCCCGTTTTAAGAACTGTGGCCCTTTGTGACCCTGAATCTTCTGTAGTCCATCCACCTATTCCTAGGATTTGAAGTTGGTTGGTCAGAATCCCTCTCATTCATGACTCACTGCCACATTTTTTAGCAATTAGCACTAATATGCTTAGTTTGCTTTCATTTGACTTCTTTAACCAGTCACCACCACAAAGCACTGGCAGGTTTTAGTTTTATATTTTCTACTGGTTTTTATATTCTTGAGGATAAGAAATTTGGAAGAAGGTACGCTTTGATTGAAGGATGGAAGCAGACATAATATTATATCTTATTGATTTTTTAGAGAGAGGAAGAAAGAGGGATAGAGAATTAGAAACATCCATGAGACAGAACATTGATCAGCAGCTTCCTGCACACCCCCTACTGGGGATGTGTCTGCAACCGAGGTACATGCTCTTCGCCAGAATTGGACCTGGGACTACTTCAGTCCGCAGGCCCATGCTCTATCTCCTGAGGCAAACCGATTAGGGATTCATTTAGTTTTAAATAACATTTTGTTGCATGTGTGTTTTAAATAACTGATTTTTAAAATATGTTTTTATTTATTTCAGAAAGGAAGAGAGAGAAACATCAATGATGAGACAGAATCATGGATTGGCTGCTCCCCTGCACCCTCCCTACTGGGAATCAAGCCTGCAACCTTGGCATGTGCCTCTGACTGGAATCAAACATGATACCCTTCAGTCTGCAGGCCAACTCTCAAACCACTGAGCCAAACCAGCTAAGGCTTAACTAACATTATGTACTTGGGGTTTTTCTGTTAAGGCTAGATTAATCTGACTATTTGCAAATATGTGCGATAGGGTTTTTTATCTAGTGGTAAGTTGATAGGCATTTATTTTCAGCTTTGAATTGTGGTAATTATGTAATCTGCAAATTGTAGTTACTGGTTCATTCATGATCTATTTCTTTCTCTAGGGTTCTCTATAAAGGTGTTTTAAAAAGGCTGATTTCTTTATATGAGCCATTGTTTGGATTGCTTCAGGAGGTCTCAAGGATTCACCCATTGCCTTACTTCAAAGATTTTACCTTTCCTTCTGATATTGTTGAATTTTTAGGACAGTCTTATTTAGAGGTCTTTAAGAAAAAAATGCCTACAGCTTTTGCAGCTAAGGGAGTAACTAAATTGCTAAATAAATTGTTCCCAACAAAAGAACGATCACTGAGGTGCAGTAAGAAACTTCACATAGGAATTCCAATAAAGCTAATTAAATGAAGATCAATGTACAGAATAATGTGGATCTTGGAGAGCCAGTAAAGAATAAGAAAATCTTCAAAGGTAATATGCTTTGATATAGCACATACTTAAAAAAAAGTTGAAGTTACAATATATTCATGGGTTACATAGAAGAAATCCCATACCTTTTATTTTTAACACACATTGATTGTCTTCAAAGAGGTATGGTAATTAATATAAGTGTTTTATAAGTTTAAACATTTAAAGTTGTTTGTTCCTATTTACTCATAGTTCTTTGCTTGCTTCCTCCACTTTTTAAAAAAAAAATAATTTGGCAAGACATATCATCATGCACTTAAGAATTTGTTGATTTGAAAATGGTATGCCTAAGTTTTTGTATTTGTTCTTTCCATCTCCACAGCAGAGTCATCAGAATTTGATGTGAGGACTTTCTGTAAACAGCTGAAACACAGAGCTATTCAGGTTTGGATTATTTTAATATAGCTTGATTTCTGCTAATGTATACAGTAGATGCCACTTACCAAGGACATAGATTGAATCTTACTTCTGTATTTTATCCCAAGCTCTAAGCTTAGTACCATGTTAGTTCTAAGTCTGCTTCTGAATGGAGGCACTCTAAGGGATTTTAGTGGATCGAGTTAATTCAGTTAATAAAGTGCCTTCAGAAACATTGTATTGAGTTTTGCTAAAAAACTATAAAGTGACCCTAGGATCCATCGTAGGTGTGGATTATACTGTAGCTTAAGAGAATGGGCCTTGCAGTCATAGAGAAATACACGGTTTGAGTCCTTTAGTTTGTACTAGCTGTGTGACCTTATGTAAGTTTCTTGACTTGTTCATATCTCTACTTCCTAATAGTATGTACCTCATGGGGTTGTGCCATTTAATGCAAGTTAAGTTCCAACAAAGAGTCAGGAGTATGGTAGATACTTAATTGGTTTCAGATGTGATTAGCTACTTTCAGTATCATTATCATCCTCCTCATCATGAGGATTCTATTTCTTCCTGTCCAGGTTTAAACTTCAACATGACTCCTTAGTGTCTGTAAATTCTTTTTGTTCTGGACCTAATAATATGTATGTCCATGTCACCCTCTTTCATCTGGTAACTACTTGACTTCTGTTACCATTTTTCTTCTCAAAATTGTTTCATGGGTTATTTCTTACATTCCATTTAAGAATTCTGTCATTTCTAACGTCAGAGTACTTTCTTGAATATTTACAAAGCTTCCAGGTTGCATTTATATTATGTCCAATTTATGAGTTCCAGAGGGAGGAGTAATAATGATAATAATAATGGCTAATACATACTTACATTGCATTTACTCTTTGTCAGGTATTGTCCAAAATATATATATTTTTTGTTCAAAAGTGGTTGTTTAAATTAAACAGTGCACCAGACATGTACTGTATATAAGAACGCTTAAAACAGGGATCATTTGGGGGTCTGGAGTGGACTATTCAGTTTACATGATTTCTGATGGGAAAAGATGATTCCGGTTTCAAACAGCCTTCTGGGACGAGTTAAGTGTAGGAATGGAGGTTCCATGTATCCATTCCTGCCCCCCTGGAAGAAAGTGAACTCCTCCCCTGCAGCTTCTCCTTTCCAACAGTAAAGAAAGTAGCACACCTGTGCTCTTCTCCCCAGGCCGCCAGCTCCTCCCCAGGCCACCAGCTCTTCCCCAGGCTGCAGCTCCTATTTCAGTTCCATGTACAGGGCTCTGGTCTGAGAGACCAAGGAAGACTGGCCCTACAGCTATCCCTGCTGACCTTGCTCTGATGAACAACCTGACAGGAAAGTGTGTAACCTCAAAGTCCCTGTGACAACTTAGGAAGCTAAAATGCCCTTTGCTTTAGAGCATGGGTGGCGAACCTTTGACAAGGGCTTTTTAAGGCTTGCAAAAGGCGTCAGGGTGAGTTAATTAAATGTTTGACCAAATACAGCAGACTGATTTTTAAATTGCTAATTTGTCTGGCTGAAGAATGATACTATAAATATCCAAGTAAGCACTTAACAGAAAAAAGGTTCCCCAACTTTAGAGATGAAGAAAAGCATGAACAAAAATTTGTCAAATTGTTTCCAAGTGACATTGCTACCCTAACGGGTGTTTCCTAAAAACTGCAACCCAACAGTCAGAACAGACAGTGTGGGATAGGCCACCCTGGCTATTTCTCCCACACAGTATCTTCATTCTCCAACTATATACAATAAATGCTTAGACAGAAAGGCCAAGTCTGTTGGGATACTAAGAGATTGCTACATCACCATTAAGGAACATCATATCCAAATGATGGTGACAGGAATGTTGCTGAATTTCCCCAACTGTAAATGACCCTGGATGCAAAAAGGTAAAAAAACACACAGGGAGAAATTCATATATATGTAGAACCATATCTTTTCATCATGCACCACTGCTCCTCCCATCCGAAAGTTAAATCGAAGATTTATACATATCCCTTACATCTCCTTCGCTCCGTGCCTGCCCGTGTCCCGGTCACACATGCTGTGGGCTACACTGCTGCAGGAGAGCACGTTTGAATTTGTTTCTCGCTTAGGATATGATCTGGGTCTTCTCTTAGTTTTTCCGGATGTCCGCGCACACCACAGACTCTGACTTGTTCATCTTGTCACTGTGATATCCGCCGGAGTGGTCTCACTGCGCATATATGACTGGGCCCCGGTGTTATCCGGATGGGAGCGTTTCTTTATGTACCAGAACCAGGGTTATGAAGATAGCGAAGAGGAGGAGACCCAGAATCACAGAGGCCGCTATACCCATCACCTGTGAAATCAGATCCAAGGGCGGCCTCCGGGTCAGTGGAGTCCCGGGCGGAGGAGGCTGGGTCCGCGGAGTCGTGGGCGGCGCAGGCACCTCTTTATCTACAACATAGAGGAGAATGTATCCCGGTTTGGAGACAATGTCGGGAGGGTTTTTGATATCACAGATGAAGTAACCGCTATGGTCATACTGCATATTTTGTATTTTGATGGATGCGTCTTTGTTGAGGAGGTCTCCAGCCCAGGTGACCCTGTCCGTGAATAGCGGGTCATTCCCGACAATCACGAAGTGACCATCCACGAAGTGGAAAAAGGACACGGTGGTGTTGGACTCAATTGGCTGGAAGCTCCAGGAGACTGTGGTCTCCTGGCCTGTGGTGATATTAGACTTGAATTTGCAGGACAGCACCCCTTGTGTCCCATAGACCACATATATTTCTTTTGGGGTGATTACCTCCAAAGCTGATACTCCAGCAGTCAACAGCCCGAGTGCTGCCACCAGCACTGCCAGCACCAACCACACACAGCGCCAGCGGGCCGCGGTGGCAGTGTCCGCACAAGCCCCTGCCCAGGCGGGCGGCGCCCACATCCTTGTCCGCTCTCCCCAGCGGCCACGCTCCAGGCGGCTGAGCTACCGTTGGCTCCACGCAGGGGCGCAGCCTTGCCACCACCCCGCGCGCTCGGTGTTCCCTCAGCGCTGCGCTGTCATAATACTTTACCTCCTATAATCCTAACACAGGTGCTGTGAGATAGGTGTCATCATTAGTTTCCATATTTCAGGTGAGAAAATCGAGGTGAATAGAGATCAAGAAACTTGCTTAGAGTACGTGGCAAATATGGGACAAGAGCTGGGATTTGAGCGCAGGCAGTTTGGTTTCATAATGTTCTTTACCATTTACACCAGTCTCCAAAATGGATTTTTCAACCCTGTTTTAAGAACTGTGGCCCTCTGTGACCCTGACACTTCTATAGTCCGTCCACCTATTCCTAGGATTTGAAGTTGGTTGGTCAGAATCCCTCTCATTCATGACTCACTGCCACATTTTTTAGCAATTAGCACTAATATGCTTAGTTTGCTTTCAGATGACTTCTTTAACCAGTCACCACCACAAAGCACTGGCAGGTTTTAGTTTTATATTTTCTACTGGTTTTTATATTCTTAAGGATAAGAAATTTGGAAGAAGGTACGCTTTGATTGAAGGATGGAAGCAGACATAATATGTGACATTATTTCATAAGTAGTAAAGTTGGTAAAATTCAAACGACTTAATACAGAAAGGTGGATTGAAGAGACAAAGGTGCAACATCAAAAGATGGTTAAATTGAAACTGAAAACGGTACTTAAGCATTTTAACATATGTTGAGCAATCACCCCTGACTTCATGTGTCTTTAGTAACATTTATAACCCATCATTGAGGAAGGTGACTTGGGGTATAGAAGGAAGTGAAGAACAAGTTGTGGGAGTCCAGGAGAGGAAAGAGGCTTTTCAGTGATTCTTTTCTCCCACCAGTTTGGCTTTGACCAATATTTAATCATGTGGAGTTTTATTCTTATGTGTAGGTGAAAGAGATGTGTTAGAATATTTATATTGTTTTCTGTGTGCAATTGAATTCAGCTGTAGATGGGATCTATTGTAGCACAGAGGGGGACATATTTTGTGTTAGGAGCAGTGAATAAAAAATTAAGTTTTTTAGGACAAAAGGAAAGTACAATGAACTAAAAAGGGTTTTTCTTTAAAAAAACAAAACAAAACAAACAAACAACACCGATTTTCGCCTGCCCAGCATGGCTCAGTTGTTTGAGCATCAACCTATGAACTAGGAGGTTTGATTCCTGGTCAGGGCACATGCCCAGCTGCGGCTCAATTCCCAGTGTTGGGCAATGCAGGAGGCAGCCAATCAGACTCTCTCTCATCACTGATATTACTCTCTCCCTCTCCCTTCCTCTCTGAAATGAATAAAAATATATTTTAAAAAGACAGATTTTCAAATTTTGATAGTCTGAATCAACTTTTCTGTAATGTTATATTTACAGTTCAGTAACAAGTCACCTTTCTATATTTCAGAAGACCAGGTTTGAATTTAAATGTCCTCAGTCCCAAGTAAAGGCAACAAAACGTTCTCCTCAGAAAGAGAGAGAAATTGCAACTCCCACAGCTTTTGTGCAAATATTCCAAAAGGCTGAGATTTTCATACGACTTTCTGAGAAATTCAAATGGCGATTCTGTGGTGCAGGAGCAAGAAGCTCAAGGCTCAGGCTTTCTTTATGGGTAATAAACTTCTTAAAAGTAACCGCCTTAAACATGTGGAAGCTTAAGGTTATAGGTAGGTATATTAAAAAAAATATGTTTCTTTTTTGATGTTATTTAGGAAATGGTAAATACAAATCAGGTTTCTTTAAAATGCGTAAGGGGGCCTAAAAGTAGAATCTGCTCCATCTGCAACTTTCCTGCTTTTGTTGGGCACAGTTGTATCACTGTGAGGAGTAAACTTGGTTAACACATTAAGCACCCAGCCTGGTTTGTGTATTGTCACAGGTGACTGGGCGCTTAACGTGTTAATTGGATTTATTTATTTAAACTCTTCACCATTCTATCCATTCATTCAGAAGCATTAAGAATGTCTGGGGATACAACTGTATGTAAAACAAACTTAATCCTCACAGATGCTAGCTTTAGTAGCAATGATGGCCCGTCTGCCCACAGCTTCAGAGCAGCAGGATGAGTGAGTGAGAGCAGTTGAAGAAGGTGCCGGCCTTCTACAAGGGCACACACCATACTCCGAGGTCAGGGTCAGGTAATGTTCCTTCCCAGGAGCTAGACTCTCCGGGTACTGCTTTCTTTGCATAGAACTGCCTAAGGATAGTCATCTTTGATTGTGAGCCAGTAAGTACTGCCTGAAATAATACATGAAATTAGACACTTGAGGGCTTTATTTTTATTGAAAAAAAGAAACACACAAAAAAAACAATAGATGCTCACAGTAACAATGTCAGCTACAAATGGTAATCAAGATTCTTATTCCCCCTTCACAGAGGCAGTCCTTCTGACCAGGTTTTAGTATGTCCTTCAAGCAATATTCTGTGCATTCACTATAATTTCTTATCTAGTTAGACATATATCTATTCAGGACTTTATAGTGGTTCCCATTTTGTCTAAAATTTGTTATTTTTTTAATTTATTGAAAAAATATTCCCATTTTAGTAAAAAATTGGATATAGTAAGGGTTTTGTAACAAGTTTTGATGAAAGGATATGGGAGAAATTAAGTATTCCTCAGGAATGAATTTCTGGAAGGGTTTTCACATTGGGATCCCTCAAAACCTGTCCACCTAAAAGGGATCTCAGGGTGGGACTAGCCGGAGATGGAGAGAATTGTCTTGTTCAAGATTGGGTTTGATGTCAGGGTTAAATGAAGCAGAGATGATAATCATTAAAAGTTCATGAAAAGGATAACTAGTGTTTATTTGGTCAAACCATTATTTTGTATTTCACAGATATATATGCTGTTTTGCTGTTTAAGATGTAGAATATTTTAAATCTAATTCGTGTGCACAGTAATTGTAGGGTAGACATTATTATCCCCATTGAAGAGGAGAGGAAATTAAGGGTTTTGCTCAGGGTGTTGGAGATGTACAGGTCAATTCAGATCCTCTGTTTTCATCCTTTCTATTTCCATTTTAAAAACATATAATTTTATTGATTTCAGACAGCAGGAGAGAGACAGAAATATCAGTGATGAGAGAGAATTATTGATTTGCTACCTCCTGCACACCCACTTCTGAGGATTGAGCCCCCAACTCAGGCATGTTCCCTGCCAGGAATCGAACTCTGACCTCCTGGTTCATGGGTCGATGCTCAACCACTGAATCACTTCGGCTGGGCTGTATTTCTATTTCCACTGGGAAATATATCTAGCCTTTCACTACTTAAAAAATAAAAAATGTTGAGTCTTCAGCAAAGTTAGGTGCCGTTAATTAGTCTTAAGATTTCCTGTTATAGTTGCTATAAAACATCTCAATAGATGGATTCCAGAATAGGTCACAGCACTGTGAAAAGAAAAGAAAAATCATTTTCGTCCTTACTTCAGAAGTAATAACAGATCTGAATACATCTAACTTAAAAAAAACTGTTTACAAGCTGAGTTTCAAGTATGAAAGAGAACATCTTAAATTGGCCTTGAATCTTCCCGAGTCCCTAAATCTAGTGCTCCACACTATCTGATCTATTACCTTCATGATTCTAAAAATGTCACCATTATCTACTATTTTGTTTTCTTACTTGCCAGACTAAAAGTTGCTTCTGTTTTTCTATATGGAAGACAATTGACATATAACATTATATTAGTTTCAGATGTATAACATAAAGATTTAGTATTGTATATACTACAAAATGATTGCAATAAGTCTAGTTTACATCCATCACTATATATAATTACAAAATTTATTTATTTAATCTTTTAAAAAATATATTTTATTGATTTTTTTTTTATAGAGAGGAAGGGAGAGGGATAGAGAGTTAGAAACATTGATGAGAGAGAAACACCAATCAGCTGCCTTTTGCACACCTCCCCCTGTGAATGTACCCGCAACCAAGGTACATGCCTTTGGCTGGAATCAAATTTGGGACCCTTGAGTCCGCAGGCTGATGCTCTATCCCCTGAGCCAAACCGGTTAGGGCAAAAATTTATTTTCTTGCGATGAGGACTTTTAAGATCTGCTCTCAGTAATGTTGAAATATGCAATACAGTATTATTTATAGTCTCCATGCTGTATATTACATCCAGGACTTATTTTACAACTGGAAGCTTGTACCTTTTGACCCCTTCATTCATTTCTCCCACCACCCAGCCCTCCCAACCCCTCCACTCTGGCAACCACTAATGTCTTCACTGTTATCTAGGAGCTTGACTTTTGTTGTTTAAATTCCACATATAAAGGACATGATATGGTGTTTGTCTCACTATTTCACTTAGCATGCCTTCAGGGTCCAGCCATGTAATAAATGGGCAAGATTTCATTCTTTTTTCTGGCCAAAAAGTATCCCACTGTGTATTTAACCCCTTCATCTTTATTCATCCACTGGCTGACACCTAGGTTGCTTCCATATTCTGGCTATTGAAAAAATGTTGCAGTGAACATGGGGTACATTGGATAAATGTGTTTTCATGTATATTGGGTAAATATCCAGAAGTAGAATTGCTAGAACAAAAGGTGGTTCTATTTTTAAGTTTTTGAGGAACCTCCATTATTTTTCATAATGACAGTACAAATTTACATTTCCACCAACAGTGCACAAGAGTTCCCTTTTCTCCACATCCTTGCCAACATTTATTTCAAGTCTATTTGATCACAGCCATTCTAACAGGCAGGAGACGATATCTCATTGTGGTTTTGATTTGCATTTCCCTGGTGAATAGTGATGTTCAGCATCTTGTCATGTATTTGTTAGCTGTCTGTACGTCTTATTTGGAAAAATGTCTCTTCAGATCCTCTATCCATTTTTAAATTTTATTATTATTATTATTATTATTTTACTGAGTTGTATGAGTTCTTTGTGCATTTTGGGATATGAATCCCTTATCACATATATTATTTGTAAATATTTTCTCCCAGTTAAGTAGCCTTTTCATTTTGTTGATGATTTCCTTTGCTTTGTAGAAGCTTTTTAGTTTAATGTAGTCTTACTAGTTTATTTTTGTTTTTGGAATCAGATCCAACAAATTATCACCAAGACCAATGTCAAGGAACTTACTGCCTATATTTTCTCCTAAGAGTTTATGGTTTCAGGTATTACAATGAAGTCTTTAATCTATTTTGACTTAATTTTTGTTTACAGTATATTGTAGTTTAATTTCATTCTTTTGCATGTGGTTGTTCAGTTTTCCAGTACCATTTATTGAAGAGACTGTCATTTCCCCATTGAATATTCCTAGTTCTTTTGTTGTAAATTAGTTGGCCATTATTCATTGTCGCATGGTCTTATTTCTAAACTCCCTATTTGTATCTGTGTGTTTGTTTTTATGCCAATACCATACTGTTTTGATTACTAGAGCTTTGTAATATAGTATGAAGTCACGAAGTATTATGCCTCCATCTTTGTTTTTCTTTCTCAAGATTGCTTTGGCTATTCAGGGTCTTTTGTGATTCTGTACAAATTTTAGACTTGTTTGTTCTATTTCAGTGAAAAATGCCACTGGAATATCTACTACTTTGCTTCTTTTTTCACAGACTAAACTGTTTGATCATTTAGTTTATTCTTTTTATGACAAGATGCAATCACCTTGATAATTTAGACCTTTTCTCAGGATTTTTAAAAAACTATCATAACCATTATTGTATCTGTTATTTATCTGTCTTGGTATATCCATTCATCCATGAGTCAGCATCAAAGTGATTTCTTGGTTCCTCAGGATATATGGACTTCTATGGATCCATTATGACTTTTATGGATATAGATATGGTGTATACATATATATTAAATAGGTAAACTCTTTTTTCTTGCATTGCTAATTCCCTTCTTGATAAAATACAGCATTTTGGACTTCTTTGACCAAACCTGCCTGCTTGAGAATAGTCCATAATGGTTCTTGGATTATAAATGGAGTTAAACATATATAGTTTAAAGGAGAAATACAAGTTAGAGAGTCCACACACTAACTATGACACCTTGAAATCATTTGCAACGTTTCTGTCATTACAATCAGTTCTCATTTGATTGGAATTTAACTAGATAGAAAACCACAGAAGTGATCATACTGTGCATATTTACGTATTTCTTCTATACTGTTTATAATGATAGACTGATCCCAGCATCAATCTTTAGGAGCCTTTCACTATTTATACTTCTCCACTCAGCTGGGGCAGAGTTCAGACCTGAAGGTTAGAACTTAACTTTTGACTTTAGGCTTAAAGGCCAAACCTGTCTGGATTACATGTCTATTCAACTTTCCACCTTTCTCCTATAAAGGTCATACAGGAAGAGAAAGAAATAAAATCTAACTTATTTTATAATAATTATTCTGTAATGAGGCCAATATACATCTAGAGGGATGAACTGGGATTTGGTCATGCTAGTAAAAGCAAGGATTAATTTAACTCTACTTTCTAAATTGGGTTTAGAAAACTATGGACTACAGAATGCCAAGTTCCTGTATGTGGTCACTGTGGTATAGTGAACGCTGACGTACTTGACAGTCAGCCAACTCCTGTGTCTCAATTCTTGGATTTTAAGTGCTGTTGGCTTCTATAGTTTTATGGGTTATGCAGCAGTGAATGCTGGCATATCTAAAGAAGAGAACTCCTCCCCTGGCTAGTATGGCTCAGTTGGTTGGAATGTCATTCCATACACCAAGAGGTAGCAGGTTCGATTCCTGGTCAGGGCACATTATGAGGTGTGGGTTCAATTCAAGGTGGCGGCACAGGTGGGAGCCAACCGATTTATGTTTCTCTCTGACATAAAAGTTTCTCTCTCTTTCCTTTCCTCTCTTTAAAATCAAATTTTTTTAAAAAAAAGAAGAAAAAAAAAGAAGAAGGGAGGAGGAGGGGGGAGGAGGAGGGATGAGGTGGAGGAGGAGGGGGGAGGAGAAGGGAGGAGGATGAGGAAGGAGGAGGAGGAGGAGGAGGAAGGAGGAGGTGTGAAGAGGAGGGAGGAGGAGGAGGAGGAGGGAGGAGGAGAAAGGAGGCAGAGGAAGAGGAGGGAGGAAGAGGAGGAAATAAAAGAATTCCCCTAAAAAGTATTAAAGAATCTGATATTCTGAGTTGTTGGCATGACCCTGCCATTTGCTGACTGACCTTTGGCAAGGAAGGAGACTAACATATTTATATTTTGTGTACTAGGTCACAATACATTTTGATACTTTCAACCATGTTATTCCTAGTGAAAAAAGACTCAAAATGAAATAATTGCTTTAAAATCTATAGCATAGAAATGGAGGAACCATGCAAACCTCTCTGAACTCACTTTACTTTTCCGACTTGTAACTGTGAAATAGGAATGCTTAGTGTGAGGATCAATAAAGTGTTTTGAATGATCTAGTGTTATAACCTCCCCAAGATCATCAGTTTTCAGATAGTGCTAATTGTTCTTAAGTAGAGCCACAATCTGACTTGATTAGTCTGGTGGCATAGAGCTCATGGCAGTGTGGGACTTCTGCTTGATCATTCTCTTGTTTTAAACACTATAATCCTGTTAATGTAATTAAAAAAACCAAACATCAGTTTTCCCCTAGCCCCATTATGTTAATTCAAACTCAGCTTCCAATCAACTAATTTTCTTAAATGCTGCTATTAGGCATAATTTGCTCATATTATGTTTCTGTTGCCTTTTTTAGCTGAAGTATCACTTCCTTATTATTAAACTAGAGGCCTGATGCACGAAATTCGTGCAAGAGTAGGCCTTCTTTCCCCGTGACTGCCTGCACTGGCTTCCCTCTGGCGACCCAGGACCCGGGCTTCCCTGGAAACCCTGGCTTCATCCAGAAGGTCGTCAGATCAAATTAGCATATTAAGCTTTTATTATTATTGATACTTACTATTTTTCTATGATAATGCTCAGGGCTCTAGGAAGAATTAGTATTTCATTCCTGCCCCTAAGAGTCCCCAGTAGTGGGTGTACAGGAGGCAGCCAATCAATGATTCTCTTTCATCATTGATGTTGCTATCTCTCCCTTCCCCTCTGAAATAAAAATAAAACATATACATTAAAGAAATAATAATTTAAAAAAAAGTAAAAGTGAAAACTTCTGTTGAACTAGGCCGAGGAAGAAAGAGAATGAAAATGCCTACAAGGAAGATATAGCAAAACTTGCAGAAGGAATAAATGGAAGGAAAAAATAAAAGCATTGATGGGTTGTACCAATAAATCTTGGCTAAGTACATAGTCTTCCAAACTTTCCTAATTTTAGTCTAAAGGCTGAGAAATGACAAGCAACACTGATTTAATATTAAAAGTTGAGAATTTATAAAGCTATAAAAACAATTCAACTCTTACCTTACAGGAAACAACTGAGGAAAACATCCTTGTGTTTTAGTGGCAACAAATTTCTGGATCTCAAGCACTTGTTTTAAAAGATGTCCCGTGGAAGATTTGTCAATTTTTGTTAACACCATCTGCAAAAAACAAACAACTAAATGAGTTCATGTATGCAACGTATGAAGCATACACTATGTGCTTTAACTACACAGGAGTATACTACTGGAATTAAAAACTAGTGAAAAGGACCCTAAAGCCATATTTGCAACTACCATAAACCAAATACTTGATATCATCACTCTGTATCTGTGGTCAAAGAAATATGTTAGTAATATTGGATGGGGTTGATTCATATAAAATTGGCAACTTATAATCATTCTTGACACACAGAATGGTTTCATCTCACATGTACCCTAAAGGAAAAATTAGAAAACCAGATTTAGTAGGTTGTATACTCTATTTCAAGTTTTATATAATTACATTCCAAGTAAGCCTAGAACTTATTAGGCTTATTAGTAAGTAATAACATTGAATAATTTACTTATTCAAAGACAATTACATACTACAGGTAAGGCCAAGGTATGGCTGATTATTAAATCAATTAAAAAGTAAAACCTTGATCTATCAGATTTTCTTGGGGAATTTCTATAACATTAAATTTCCTGATTCATCATTCATACTTTTCAGTTATAAAATGTAGATCGGCAGAGGGAGGGAGAAGCAAAAATTGTGTGGCTTCTAATGACCTGTGAGATCTGCAAAATGGAAGTCTTTCCTTATCAAGGCAAATACTGATATTTATTTATTTTTATTTTTTAATCTTTTATTATTATTTTTAATATTTATTGTTCAGATTATTACAATTGTTCCTCTTTTTTTCCTCCATAGCTCCCCTCCACCTAGTTCCCACCCCACCCCATGCCCTTCCACCTTTCTCCCCATTGTCCTCAATCATAGGTGTATGATTTTTGTCCAGTCTCTTCCCGAACCCTCTACACACCTTTCCCCCCAAGGACTGTCAGTCCACTCCCTTTCTATGCCCCTGATTTTATTATATTCACAGTCCATTCTGTTCTTCAGATTTTTATTCACTTGATTTTTAGATTGACTTATTGATAAATATGTATTTGTTATTCATAATTTTTCTTTGCCTTTTTCTTCTTCCTCTTCTTAAAGAATACTTTCAGCATTTCATATAATTCTGGTTTGGCAGTGATGAACTCCTTTAGCTTTTTCTTATATGTGAAGCTTTTTTACTGACCTTCAATTCTGAATGATAGCTTTGCTAGGTAAGGTAATCTTGGTTGTAGGTTCTTGCTGTTCATCACTTTGAATATTTCTTGCCATTCCCTTCTGGCCTGCATAATTTCTGTTGAGAAATCAGCTGACAGTCATATGGGTGCTCCCTTATAGGTAACTAACTTTTTTTCCCCTTGCTGCTTTTAATATTCTCTGTCGTTAGCCTATGGCATTTTAATTATGATATGTCATGGTGTGGTCCTCTTTGGATTCCTTTTGTTTGGAGTTCTGTGTGCTTCCTCGACTTGTAAGTCTATTTCTTTCACCAGGTGGGGGATGTTTTCTGTCCTTATTTCTTCAAATAGTTTTCAGTATCTTGCTCTCTCTCTTCTTCTGGCACCCCCATAATTCAGATATTGGTACGCTTCAAGTTGTCCCAGAGATGCCTTTCACTATCTTCATATTTTTGGATTCTTTTTTCTTTTTTCTTTTCTGGTTGGTTGTTTTTTGCTTCTTTGTATTTCAAATCTTTTACTTGATTCTTGTTGTCCTGTAATCTGCTGTTGGGTCTCTGCATAATATTTTTTATTTCAGTCAGTGCATGCTTAATCTCTACTTGGTTCTTTTTCATATCCCGAGGGTCTTACTAAATTTATCGGCCTTTTCTAGAAAATTCTTGCAAAACCTTATAACCGTGGTTTTGAACTCTATATCCAGTGGTTTCCTTTCCTCAATTTCTTTAATTTGTGACCTGATTCTTTGTCTCCGAAATTTGGCTGCTTCCATGAATTGATAGAGTGGCGTTGTGTGCTAGGTGTCCTACAGGGCCCAGTGGCTCGGCCTCCCTAGTTACCTGAGGTGGACACTCTTGGTGCATTCCTTTGTGGGCTGTGTGCCCAGTCTTGTTGTATTTAAGCCTTGACTGTTGTTGGTATCACTGGGGAGAATTGACCTCCAGGCCAATTGGCTGTGAGGTTTAGCTGAATCTACACTGGGAGAAGTTCTGAGCTGGAGACACTCTTATGAGGCAAGACTTGCTTCAGTGGGGCTTTGTTGTTCACTGAGTCTGCTCCCTGAGTGTGTCACTTATGGATCTGGGGAATTGTAATCTGGATGTTCCTACTATGACCACTTGGTACACTGGTTTTTGGATCTCCAAGGAGGTGCTAATTTAGCCTCTGCCTGAGGCCACCCAGTAGGAGCAGATTCCTCTTCTTATTTCGGTTTTGGAGGTGCCCAGATGAGGCCCAGCTGTGAAGCCATGCAAGCTGCCTTGGGGACTTGGGCCTTCTTTTGGATGTTCTGGGTCTCTCTGACTCAGTTGCAGTTTCTGAGGTAAATTTAGATTCAAAGGACCAGGCCATTCACATGCAAAAACCTCTGTGCACAGCTTGGATAAGGCAGAGTCTCAGGATGGAGCAAACAGAAATTGCTTCCCGGTAGCCCTGCCCCAGAGGCCCTGGGTCTGTGTCCCCTGGTAATCTCTGCAAGCACCTCTGAGACAAAGCTGCCCTCGTGTTTCACCCACTGCCAGACAGTCCAGTTTCTCCCCATATGAGTCTGGGTCCCAGAGTATCATCCGGAATTGAAGTTCAGAGCAATCGGGAGCTCGTGTCTCCTTCCTGCTTGAAAAAGACAGCCATGTCCTCAGTTGCCAGCCCTCTCCATGTGAGCGCACCTCCATACCTCTGCACTTTATTTCCACAGCTCCTCTGAGTCTCAGTGTGCTTTTCTCTTCCTTTCTAGTTCTAAAATTTCCACTCAGCCAGCCTTCCTATGGTTTTGGAAGATGTCGTTTTGTCTTTTCGTTGTAGTTTTAAAGTGGTTGTGCAAGTCAGCAAGTTCAGGTGTTTACCTATGCCACCATCTTGTTTTTTGTTTTTTGTTTTCTTCTAAATGCTGATATTTAAAAGGAAACATAACTCCTCTAGTACAAACTCTTTTTCAGAAAGGGTTTAATGGTGGGGCTTTGGTGCTAAATCTGAAGAAAATATGTGATTTCAGAAACTGTTATCTATGACACCAAATTAGGAATATTATCACTTAAAAAAACCCAGTTTGGCATTACTTAGGCATTTTTACTTTGTAGACTAAGTTTATCAATCCTTTGACTCCTCAAAACTGTATATTTTCACTAACATTTCAAAGGGCTTTGCAAACCCGAAGAATTCCATAAGTATAGCAAGACAGAAAAATTACTCACTAGTAAAGTTTGACTTGTATTAAACTTCACTGTCAAATTTTAGTAGTTTACTCACTATTGTTTAAAACCAAATTTTAGCCAATGGGTTCTTCACTTTTCCTTAGGAAATTTAAGAGTGCTACTTTATTTGTAAAACTCACAAAGCAAAATGAATGTTTATATCAACCTACTAATGCAATGGTCGGCAAACTCATTAGTTAATAGAGCAAAATAAAATACAATGATTGAAATTTCTTTTGAGAGCTGAAAACACATGGGTCTTCTGCACATGGGTCACGAAGTTTCAATCACACTGTATGTGTGCCTCAAGGGGCCAAAAAGCTGCATGTGGCTTACAAGCCGCAGTTTGCCGACCATATACTAATCAGTATTTTATTATAAATCAAATAATAAAATATTGGTAAGATTTTAACAGAAGAAATCCTGTTTTAAGAGTCTATATATATTATATATAAGCCTAGTGGCCAGACCAACAGAACGAGTGGAACAACCGGAATGACTAGTTGCTATGAAGTATATTGCAGTAGACTAATGGCCCGCTCGGGTCCCCTGTTGCCGTCCCTCCCCCAACCTCCTGTGGCCCCTCCCCGCTTTGACATGGCCAGCCCCCATCAGGTCAGGCTGGCGGATCCCACCCGTGCACGAATTCATGCACCTGACCTCTAGTACAGTATAAAAATACTACTTGTGTGTGTGCTGGAGCCTGCTATGTTCTTGTAATGTTTCTTAAATTCCAAATTAGTTTAACAAATTTTCAGTTGCAGTTTTATTTACACACTGTTAAGTACTATCTGCCAAGTTGCTTTTAAAGAGCTGCTAACATTTTGGACAAATATTCACATTGCCATTAAAATACAAAACAAAAACAGTAACAGAAAGAAAAACACCTAGGAGCACCTAAATAAACAGTTTAAAAAAAACAACTTTGACTATATTATTGAAAACTTAAAACTGAGAAAAGGAAGAGAGAATAAAAGTAGTACATAATTTATTTTATTAATGGCTAACAATGGTAAAGATTATATAAAAGGTGCTCCTTTATCTCTTGAAGAGGAAAGACTTATCCATTAAAAAGACAGACAGACAGACAGACAGACACAGACACACACAACCGGTATGTATTTCTAATTGCAACCATGATTCAAAAGAAATACTTACTACATAAGGCAAGGCAAACTCTTCACACATTTCTATGGCAATATTGTCTGCTTTCTGAATTCCAGCAACACTATCCACTAACAAAAACGTTCTCAGCAAACTGTAAGGATGCAAAAATAAAGATTAATGGCAATATAAAATTCATTCCTTCCTCCTTCCCCACCCCTCAAGGTATACCAATAAATTTTCCTTTGATTGATTTTTAATACAAATTTAAAAACATTTTTAGGCAAAAAGAATCCTCAATTCACTAGGTCTATCCTATAATCCAATAGTTAAATAAATTCACTAAATATTAATTTATTTCAGTAGCATGTATTGCACATGACTCTATACTTGGAATTGGATACAAAGGTGAGTAAGCCCCTTCCTCTAAAAGCCTGAACTCTAGTGAGAGAGAGAGACATGTATAAATATCTTATATGAATATCTCATATTAATGTCTATGTAAAGCCACAAGAAAGATATTTAACACTTCTTTATACTTCAAAAGTTTAACATAAATTTTTCTATATATGTGCAAAGCTTGAAATACTTGCCTACCTAGGAAGACCATAAAAGGAAACATTTATGAAGGATGTGATGTCAGGAGTACTTTAAGAATAATTAGAATTTACAAAATTTGTTTATATTTAGTAAATACCACATTAATCAACAATTTTCATTTTCAAAATTAGCCAGCTAAGAGTTTGGTATAAAAACATTAGTAAACTCTTCTGAAGTACTATTTATAGTCTCAATTTAGAAAAATACTTGAATTTCAGATTAAGTTAACCTACAGGGAAAAAAACAAAGCAAATATGCAGTAAATACTTTGGTTGTAAATGATGTGTTGCAGAATATTATGAGAATAAAATGAACTTTTTAAAAGTCATTTGATAAAACTGAAGTGGTTATCATGTGTAGAATGCTCTATTACCAAAAATATGCTTTTGGTTTAAATGTATAACTATTATAAACCATTTCCCGCCCTTACTTCTTTCGTTCTTTTAGATAGGTCTCTACCATATCAACAAAATCTTCAGGTGCTCGATAGCCATAACCTGGCATGTCCACCAATGTAAAATATTTTCCAACTTTGAAAAAATTCATTTTCTTTGTGTGCCCCTGATAAAATAAATAGAAAAAGTGAAAACTTGCTTAAAATTTGTTCAGTATGTATTTTATAACTCAAAATATTTTCTATTAAATCATATTTATTAACATGTATAAATATTCTGTATATAATCCCAGCTACACTCATAATTAAACAGGAAAAGAAGATAAAGCACTGGCTGGTTAGAGCATCAGCCTACCCACTGGAGGGTCACAGGTTCAATTCCTGGGTCAAGAGTACAATCCTATGTTGCAGGTCTGATCCCCATGCAACCAATTGATGTGTCTCTCTCACAATGATGTTTCTCTCTCTCTTACTCTCCCCTCCCTTTCACTCTCTCTGGGATCGATGGAAAAAATATCCTCACTTCTTGGGTAAGAATTAAAAAAAAAAACAAAACCCAAAAACTAAAAAGATAGAGTGGCTGGAGATATGCTTAGATACTACTCCTCTCCAACTCATAATTTTAAGATAATATATATGACTGAAGAAGAACTTTAGATTCCATATTAAAAATAGATAGGCAAAATATTTTGGACTCTTTCCTATTTCGTTAGTTCTCAGTAAGAAAAACAAAAACAAAAACGTTAACCTGGTGAGACTCTACTAGTCAATATTCTCTGATGAGTAATGTACTTCTAATAAGAAATGAATTTGGCACAGTTTAAATTAAATACAACCATAAAACCTAGATGTAAAACCTGATAGTTTATTATGCCTGGACTAGAGGTCTGGTGCTCTAAATTTATGCACTCAGAGGGGGTCCCTCAGCCCAGCCTACACCCTCTCACAGTCCGGGAGCCCCTGGGAGGATGTCCATCTGCTGGCTTAAGCCTGCTCTCTGGAGAACAGGCCTAAGCTGTCAGTTGGACATCCTTGGCGCTGCTGCGAAGGGGGGAGGGGCTCCACCTCCATGGCTAGGCTCGCCAGCCATGAGCCGGGTTTCTGGCTGAGTGATGCTGCCCCTGTTGGAGCATAATAACCACCAGGGGGAAGCTCGGGCAATTGAGCGCCTGGCCCCTGGTTGTCAGTGCATGTCATAGTGACCTGTCATTCTGTGTTCAGTCATTTGCATTTCAGCCTTTTAATATATATGATAGTCTTTGGTTGATCACCTCCCATCCACCCACGACTGGGGCCAGGAAAGGACATGAGAGGTTGGCCAGCCGGGGAGGGACCGTAGGAGAGGTCCAGGGCATGTGCGGCCTTTCTCACTCAGTGCCGATCTGCCAGATCCCAGCAGCAAGCTAACCTACCTGTTGGAGCATCTGCCCTCTGGTGCTCAGTGCATATCATAACAACTGGTTGAGCAGTCGATTGTCTGACTCCTATTGGTCAGTGCATATCATGGTGAGCAGTTGAGCGGCCTCAGCATATCAGTAGCATATCATTCTTTGATTGGTTGAACGGCTGACCTGCCAGCCGGACACTTAGCATATTAGGCTTTTATTATATCGGATTAATACTTCCTTAAAATCAATATGTTTTGCATGTTTCATTGGATGGGTTTAAGTACTTTCATTAAACCATTTTTAAAAAAACATGTACAACACTATAAAAAAATCTGTGCAACTAAAATTGATGTTATGATAAGTGGATTATTCAAGATTTTATCTCTATGGACATTTATTACCGGTAATCAGAAAAGGAAAGATTAAGATAAACAAACAGTCAATTGTTTGGAACTTAAAACAAATGTTTTCAGACAAAAGGTGTTATAAATGGTGCATAGGTTCCCAGTCAACTATACTATATAATAAAGAGGTAATATGCAAATTGACCCTCACACCCTCACACAAGATGGCTGCCCCATGTGGTCAAAGATGACTGCCACAAATGGCCGACAGTGGAGGGTAGTTGGGGGCCACCAGGCCAGCACAGGAGGGCAGTAGGCGCGGGGAAGGCTGTTGGGTGGGACTGGTTCTGCAGGGGAGGGCTCTTGTGGAGGACCAGGCCTACAGGGGAGGGTAGTTGTGGGGGGGACCGGGTGTGCAGGGGAGAGCAGTTGGGGGGAGCCAGGTCTGCAGGGGAGAGCAGTTGGGGGGGGGGGGCATGGGTCTGCAGGGGAGAGCAGTTGGGGGCAACCGGGCCGGCAGAAGGAAGATAGGGGTGACCAGGCCAGCAGGGGAGGACAGTTGGGGGTGACTAGGCCGGCAGGGGAGGGAAGTTGGGAGTTACCAGGACATCAGGGGAGGGCAGTTAGAGGCAATTGGACAGCAGGGGAGGGCAATTGGGGACAATTGGGCTGATAGGGGAGCAGTTAGGTATTGATCAGGCTGGCAAGGGAGTGGTTAGGGAGGGATCAGGCTGGTAGGCAAGCGAGTGGTTGGGAGCCAGCAGTCCTGGATTGTGAGAGGGATGTCCAACTGCTGGTTTAGGCCCAATCCCATAAGGGTCCTTGATTAGAGAGGGTGCAGGACACCCCCCCTCCCAGTGCATAAATTTCGTGCACTGGGCCTCCAGTGTATCAATAAGAAAATTATTTTAGAGTTATAGATGAGGAATGTCAGAAATACATTTCTTGCATTGTCCTCTCATAGCATGAACCAAACACCTTGCCTGTAAGTGAGAGTTTAGCTGGGTTATCTGGTGAGGCAGAGCAGGAGGAAGGGCAGGAGAATTAACGGATGACAACAATCATCAGTGACAGAGCCAGGGAATCAACTTTATGAAGAAGTCAGAAGCAAGAAAGGACTAGTGAAGTCTCTTGGAAGAGTTCCAATGCAAAAAAAGAGGGCAGTAAGCACTGAGTTGGTGGGGATGTTTTGTCATGGATGGATAGTAAGGTGAGAGGAACTTGGGGAAGTACTGAAGTGCTTAGCTATTGGCAGAGTCTGCATCATTGAGAAGGAAATAGAGGAAATTAGAAAATTAAAAATTAGAAAGCCTGAAGGACACTACAGCAGACTGGCTGGGATAATAAGCACATAATTTGGCTTAGAGTAAACTGGGATTTGCCTGATTGGTGTATGTATGAGTTAGCAAAGTATAAAATATTACAGAGGGGGGAAAAAACCTACTTTACAAATGTTTCCTCTAAAATCAATATAGAACTAAGATGTTCATTCTTGAAAGCGAATCCATATATATGCTAGTAAAAGCCTAAGCAACTGTTTGACTGGCTGATCAGTTGCTATGACATGCACTGACCAGCAGGGGGCAGGTGCTCAATGCAGAAGCTTCTCCTTGGTGGTTAGTGCACTCCCACAGTGGAAGTGCTGTTTAGCTGACGAATGGGAGCCAGACGCCAGACTCACAGCTGGCAAGCACAGCTGTGTAGATGCAAGCCTCTCCTGAGGACACTTCCCCTGCATATCCCTCCCCCATCTGGACCAGGACTAGTATTGGGACCAGCATTGAGACTGACTGGGTGTGAGCCCGCGGCCACTTTTCAGTCATGGCGCACTGGTAGCACCCTAGGACGGGCGCGCAGAGATCACAGTGGAGCAGCAGCAAGTCTACTGAGCGGCGGTGGCAGGCATCATGGGTGGGATGAGTGGGAGCAGCACGGCACCCAGCTCAGGCTTGGGCTCTTCCCTAGCTGCCTGCCCCTTCGTGCACCACTACATCCCTCAGGGGATGTTGGACTGCCGGTTTTGGCCCAATTCCTGCAGGCCACACCAAGAACCTCACTGGTGTACAAACCTGTGCACTGGGCCTCTAGTCCTGTATAATAAAAGGGTAATATGCAAATAGACAGAACAATGAATCAAAGAGTAATGTACTGAGGAGAAACCAAGATGGCGGCATAGGGTAGACACCCGAATGCAGCCTACCACAACAAATTTGAATTTAGAACTGGAAAACGGGAAACATCGCCCTGAAGTGCCAGACGGCTGGCTTGAGGAGGCTCTACCATCTGGGAAGGAGAGAGAAGGCACGGTGAACCTCAGGAACTGTGAAGGTGCGGAGAACTGTGGGCGCAAAAAGGCGGCTGCAGACTTCCCTGCCGGCTTGCTTGCAGAGCACGGAGAGGGCAGGCCGAGTTCGCTAGTGGCTTACTCCCTGCACAGGGAGAGGGTGGACAACTAATGTGTGGCAGCTAGCTTTCTTGTTCCGGAGGAAAACAGAACCACCCTATTGCTCTGATAGACGGTCCCAGACAGGGAGGGGCCAGACTGTCTGGCAGTGGGCAGAGATCTCTCCGAGGTGTATGAAACCAGCGGCCATTACTGCAGGACTCAGAAACCAGACCCTCATAGGGAGGGGCTGAATAAAGCTTGTCTGCACCACCCGAGACTCCGCCCCATCCAAGCGGAGCACAGAAGCCCTTCCAGTGGCTAGCTTTCTTGTTCGTCGAGAATAGGACTCTCCTAGGGAGGGACAGACAGAAATCAAAGCTTGTCTGCACCTATACCAAAGAAGTGCACGCACCTGCAACTAATCTTGTGGGATTCACCAAAGCTTGGCTGTGCCACCCCGAGACTCCGCCCCATCCAAGCGGAATACAGAAACCCTCTTAGCTGAGACACTTCTGATCCTCATAGCCAATTGGCTTGGAGATCAACACTTCCCAGTGATACCAACAACAAGCAAGGCTTAACAACTAGACTGCACACACAGCCCACAAAGGGCTACACCAAGACTGTCCACCTCAGGTAACTGGGAGGCTGACCCACTCAACCATATAGGACACCTTAGCACACAAAGCCACCCTACCAACTCAGGGAAGCTGTGAAAATGCCGAGACAAGGAAACAAATCATAAACAAAAGAAATGGAGGACAAGAAGCGACTGGATATAGAGTTCAAAAACACGCTTATAAGGTTTTTCAAGAATTTCCTAGAAAAGGCTGATAAAGTAAACGAGACCTATGAGGATATGAAAAGAGATCAACTAGAAATAAAAAATACATTGTCTGAAATAAAAAATATTATACAGAGTCCTAAAAACAGAATGGAAGATCGCAAGAATCAAGTCAAAGATTTGGAACACAAAGAGCCAGAGGGCACTCCTCCACAGAAGCAAGAAGATAAGAGAATCCAGAAAGTAGAAGATGGTGTAAGAAACCTCTGGGACAATTTCAAATGAACCAACATCAGAATTATGGGGGTCCCAGAAGAAGAGAAAGAGCAAGATACCAAAAACATACTGAAAGAAATAGTGACAGAAAACTTCCCCGAACTGGTGAAAGAATTAGACTTACAAGTACAGGAAGCGCACAGAACCCCAAACATAAGGAATCCAAGAGGACCACACCAAGACACATCATAATTAAAATTCCAAGAGCAAAAGACAAAGAGAGCATATTAAAAGCACCCATATGATTGTTAGCTGATTTCTCAACAGAAACCATGCAGGCCAGATGGGAATGGCAAGAAGTATTCAAGGTGATGAATAGCAAGAACCTACAGCCAAAAATACTCTACCTAGCAGAGGTATCACTCAGAATCTAAGGGCAGATAAAGAACTTCACAAATTAAAAAAAAGCTAATGGAGTTCATCACTGCCAAACCGGAATTGCTGAAAGGGGTTCTTTAGGAAGAGGAAGAAGATATAGATAAAAATTATGATCAACAAATATGTAACTATCAACAAGTGAATCTAAAAAAAGCCAAGGGAATTAAAAAACCTGATGAACAATATTAACTAGTGAATATAATAGAATCAGAAGTATGGAAGGGGAGTGGACTGACAATTCTTGGGGAAAAGGAGAGTGGGGGGTGCGGGAAGAGCTGAACAAAAACTGTGCACCTATGGATGAGGACAATGAGGGGTGGGGAAAGGGCAGAGGGTTGGGTGGGAACCTGGTGGAGGGGAGCAATGGAGGGCAAAAAAAATGAGGAACATTTGTAATAATATGAACAATAAAGATTTATTTTTTAAAAAAAAGTAATAAGCTAATGATATGTGCTTGCTATGACATGCACTGACCACCAGGGGGCAGTGCTCCAACCAGAAGTTTAGCTTGCTGCTGGGGTTAGGCTGATTGGGATTGAGCAAGATGGGCTAGACACCCCCACGGTCCCTCCTCAGCTCAATCATGCACCTGGCCTGTGCCTTCTCGAAATCTGGGTCCCCTTGGCAGATGTAGGAGATCTGGTTTCAGCCCGATCCTGCAGGCACTCCCTTTGGGAGGGCGCCAGACCCAGGGCTCATGTCTGGCAAGCACTGCTGTGGCAGCGCGAGCTCTCCCTATCGGGACTGATTGGGCATGGGCCTGCGGCAGGCACAGTGGGGCCTGGAGCAGCAGGAGCAGCAGTAGGAGTTGCAGGGTGGACTATGGGTTTTAGCCCAATCCCTGCAGGCCACCCACAGAGACCCACCTGTGCACAAATTCATGCCTGAGGCCTCTAGTATAGAATAACAAAAGAACAACTCTTTGGAAAGGATTTTGACCAAGGAAGATTTCCTCAAGGTACTGGCAAGACTACTAAAATAAATTTTTGAGACATATTTCCTTTCCTTCAAAGAAATTCAAAGGCATTGATGAAATCTCTTACTTTACTACTCATTTGAAAGAAATCACTTTTCTAGGAACTTGGCTATTATCATTTCTTGTATCCTCCAACACTTCTTACTCATCTTCACCAATTGAGAGTTCTGGCAGATTTGAAATTTCTACATACCGGGGTTTTGGAGACTCTGACTTCAACCTCTGGAGCCAATGAAAACAAAGCCTTTATTAGGGAGGATTTTCCAACATTGCTTCTGCCTATGAAACACACCTTATATAAGAAAAGAGAAGGGAAGCTGGGTGAAAAAGGTGAAGAAATTAAGCAAAAGAAAAAAACCAAAACAACAAACTCATAGACACAGACAATAATATGGTGATTACCAGGGGGAAAGGGAAATGGGGGGAGTTAGAAGAGGGTAAAGAAGGAATAAATGGTGTGGAAGGAGACTGGACTTTGGGCAGTGAACAGACAATATAATATATAAATTATATATATATATATATATATATATATATATATATATATATATATATGCCTAAGTGACCATTATGACCAAACATCCGGTTGACCATTTGCTATGAGGTGCACTCAGATGCTCAATGCAGGAGCTGACCCCTGGTGGTCAGTGTGATCCCACAGCCGACCTCCCGTAGTAATTCCCCCTGGCCAGCAGGCCCCGATCGGGACTAAGTAAGATGGCCGATTGGCCCTGATTGCCGGCCAGACCTAAGGACCACACTTGTGCACAAATTCATGCACTGGGCCTAATATTATAGAATTGTACACCTGAAACCTATATAATTTTATTAGACAACTAGAGGCCTGGTGCATGAAAGTTCGTGCACTTAGGGGTGTCCCTCAGCCCGGCCTGAGCCCTCTTGCAGAGTAGGAGCACTCAGGGGATGTCCAACTGATGGCTTAGGTCCACTCCCCTGAATTCTAACCTCCCTCTGCAGGAGGTGACCTATCGGTATATCAGGGACAGCACTGTCCAGTGAGCAGCCAGCCCTGTCCCCCACCGGTGGCCTCCCTCTGTTCTGCCGTTTGCCTATTTGCATATTAGGCTTTTATAATATAGACGTCACCCCAATAAATTCAACAAAAAATTTTTTAAAGAAGAAAAAGAGAATTGAGTATTAGCTTAATACATAAATTTATTATGATGTATTAGTTGCAAAAACCTGTCAAGCTATTTCACTCCTGCCTCACCATAATATAGATGATACAATGAGGCAGAAAGAGGTTAAATACTGGCCCAAAATTATATAGCTAGAAAGTAAAAGAGTTGAAATTTGAACTCAAGACATCCATATCCAGAACCTGTACTTTTCATTACACTGCTACTCAAGAATATCTGTAACATTTATTAAGCATCATATATTTACAAAGCTTTTTGAAGCAGAACTACATTTCCCCACAAACTTTCAGAGCACAATGTAATTAAGAGGTTATTCCTTTCTCTTGAACGCTCTTCTAATTAAGCTTTTCTCCTTTAGTGCTCTATACTATAGTCAGCTCAGGGCACACATACAGTAATTACTAAAATTCTCTAACACAGCAAAAAATATATATTATTTTTTGCTAATCACACACACAAAAAATATAATTTTGATTCATTCACTCCAGATGGCTATTGTCATTTTTTAATTTGAGAATCTTAAGGGAAAAGAGGTAAATGCCCCTGACTAGTTAGATATTATATGTTTTAAAAATTCTTGTAGTTCACTGGTTGAAAAATCACTGCTCTATAGTGTAGAAAGCAACAAAATATTCCTGATAGTAACCATTAATACACATGCCTCTGCTTTCAAACATGGTATTGAAGAGGGTATAATACTAATCAGTGGTTCTAAATGAGGGCGTGTTTTGGAAATTTATGAGGAAATTTTTGATTATCAATATGATCATATGGCATTTAGTAGACAGGGGTCAGGGATACTATATATTATGCAAAACTGTGGTCAGTCCTTCAAAATGAATCAATCTGAATCCTGCTTAAATTTTAAATGTTCTGCCAAATTAAGTGCAATGATAATCTACAGATAATAAAACTAAATTTTAATAAAACTGAATTTAAAAAAACAAATACTAAAAAAATCCAATAATTTAAAAGCAATGCTATCTCAAAATCATTAAATGATATATACGTTCTTAAATTATAGTAGTTCTAAATATATTCAAAGGACATTTTCAATGCAGTTGTGCAGTTACTACAAATACAGCAGGTCCCTGAGTAACATCCATTCCTTCATGGACATTTTGTTATAAAGTTGATGAGAGAGAGAAAAAAAAAATCAATTCATGGACAGGGCCACTGAATATGGAGTTTGTACGTTCTCCCCATGTTTGTGTGGGATTTCTCCGGGTACTCCCACGTCCGTAAGATGTGCACATTAGGTGAACTTGCCAGTGTACCACTCTGAGTGAGTGAGGGTGTGTGTGAGTGAGCCCTGCATGGCATCCTGTCCAGGTCTGGTTCCTGCCTTGGCCCCTGAGCTGCCAAGAGAAGCTCTGGCAGTTACCCTGAACTGGAATAAACAGGTTCAAAAATAATTACCTTAGTTGTTTTTAATAATCATTCTTAAATGTATGTATAGTTCACTTTTATTTCAATGTTTAATATTAGAAATGTTTTGGGTCTTTATTTAGATGTTAGGGGATGTTTTGGGGACCAGAAATATGCCTTAGGAACTTAGCACTTGTTTGTATTAATTAGCCTTTGGTAAAATTGATTTCATTATAGTTATGTTGCTTAGTCTCAGTTTCCAAGACACCATCACTGTGTAAGTGAAGACTTACTGTATGTAAAGAGATCTGAGCTTTCTTTTACCACTTAGAACATATTTTATTAAATAATATAAAATATTATTAAGCTGCAGTATATGCATAAAATGCACAATCATGAAATGTCACTAAAATTGTTTTTAAAAAATCTGCATTATTGCTGCCAGCTGGCATGGCTCAGTGGTTGAGCATTGACCTATGAACCAGAAGGTCACAGTTCGAGTCCTAGTCGGCCCATGTGCCCCCAGTTACAGGCCTGATCGCCAGTGTGGGGCATGCAGGAGGCAGCTTTAGTGCTATTCAATGATTCTCTCTCATCATTGATGTTTCTTTCTCTCTCTTCCTTCTTCTCTGAAATCAATTTAAAAACATACTGTTGTTCCTTTATGTCTCTGAATTTGCAAAACTGCCAGGCAGGCCTCTGAGCGAGTCAGGTTAGCATATGGCCCCCTTTCATCCACAAACTGAAGTTATTTACTATTCTTTTTTCAATAATTTTTAAAAATTTTGATTTCAGAGAGGAAAGGAGAGGGAGAGAGAGAGAGAAACATCAATGATGACATAGAATCATTGATTGGGCCACCTTCCGCATGCCCCCTTCTGGGGATAAAGCCCACAACTGGGTCATATGCCCTTGACCCTTCAGTTCCAAGACCAACACTCTATCCACTGAGCCAAACCAGCTGGGGCCACACACTGAAGTGACTTGCGTATTTAATTAAAATAGTTACATGCTCCCACAAAGCTAAGGAACCTCTCATGTTTTGTGAACAAGAAGTGAAGACAAAACCCCTTCCCCAGCCTCTCCGCCACAGGCCGGCGGCGGCGCTCTCACCTCCGGGCGGGGGAGGCCGGGGGCGTGGTCCAGACGCACAGCCGAGCTCAGGTACTCGATGCGGTTCCGAGGGGTGGCCGTGAAGAAGCCCTCCGCCCTCGCGATGTCCTCCAGGCTCGGGTCAAAGACCCTCAGATGAAGGTCGGATCTGGCGTCAGGGTGGAGATGCCGCTGGAGTTCCTGTAACGGGAACACGAGCTTCGTCAGTTCCATTTTTGGCAGCTGTAGGACCTCCCTGAAGGCGTGGGACTTGCTGTAAGCTCGGCTCCAGCGCCCCAGCGCTGCGGGCATCTCAATGAGCCTGCCCATGCGCGGCCGCAGCCTGGGCGCCGCCATGTTTCTCTCCCAGAAGCCCTGCAGCAGGACCTCATTCCTAGCGGTTGGGCTGCGCGTGCGTGACCCGTCCCTCTACGCCTGCTGGGAATTGTAGTCCGCTGTGGTCTCGCCTTCCGGTCCTGAGGTCTGCCTGCACTGAGCTGTGGGCAGGCGGTGTCCCGTGGCGAGTCACACCTTGAAGGCGCGCCTTTGACGTGTTTGCCGCTGTGGGGAGACTGTTGACTGGTTTCCAGTGGTCAAGCCCTTAAGGCTCAAAGGAAGAAGAAAACGTGTGAAGTTGTAGATTTCAGGCCCAATTACTTAGCACAGTTTGTGGTTGTCTCGCGCATCTTTGGCTTGGACGTACACATCACTAGGAAACACAGTTTTGCAGAAAAAAGGGCTGGCGACAAAAGTGGTTGAAGCGGCATCTGGTTTCCAGGGAAGAGGCAGTTTATACTTTAGTCACTACATTTTTGAGATTTCTTACAGAATAAAAGCAAAAACAGTTTTGCAACAGGTGTTTACAGTTGTTTCATGGAAGTTACATAAGGATAACTTATTTAAAAAGTTGATTCTCAAAGCAATTCAAACGCATCAGCGCGGAAATGGGAGATGCATGTATTATGATGAATAATTTAAAAGTATTCCTGCTGAAAAGTCTATAGTTCTCTAGAAACATCAGCACCAAACAGCAGAGCAATCTTAACCCAAGCCTCTTGAGCGATTCCCCAGGTTGTTAAGTGACTAATCAGGGCAATTCTTGAATGAATGTCATACAAAAATTAATGAACAAGACCAATGACTACAGTAGTCTGACCTGCTGCTGGCTGCCTTATTTTTAATCTTTATATTAGGCTTTTAGGCTTCCCTCCTTCCCCTAATATCCCCATGATAAAACACTTTATTGTAAACATTCAGCTATTTTGGATACATTTATTATTGTGTGTGTGTGTGTGTATGTGTGTGTGTGTATTTAACTCGAATACTGTTCCAAATTTTCCCCCTGAACTTTCAATAGTATATTTAGAAGTCTTTCTATATCAGTACTAGTATATCCTCACCTACATGATTGTTTTTAATAGGGGCATATAATTTTATTTATTTCCCCATAGTTTGGTTGATCTCTAATTAGATTTTGTTATTAAAAACAATGCTACAGTGAACACTCATAAACAAATTATCTTTACCCAGTGTGAGAGTGGACTAAATTCCTTAAAGAGGACTTGACGGTATTGAATATGTGCATGTATATTTTTAATATCTCTATTGAAAAATATCCTCTGAAGGAATTGTTCCAAATTACCCCCTAATAATTAATGACCAGTGTGGCTCAGTTGGTTGAGCATCATCCCATGCACCAAAAAGTTGCCGGTTCAATTCCTGGCACATAGCGGGGTTTCAGGCTCAATCCAAAGTTTGAGGAGTCAAACAGATAATACATTGGAAATAAATATAACAAGGAAAACCACTTAATTTATTTAATCATCCCATTTCCCCCCTTCACTCTATTTTTTCAAGTATCTATGTAAACACGACTCTGGGAGTCAGGATGTTGCCTTCTGGGTGTTAGGACTGTGACTCAGAATAGGATGTAAGTACTAGTGGGGAAAGGGAGTGTGGATTAGACATCCAAGCAGCTTCTCAGTCATACAGATTGCGCAAACGTAACGATGGGGTTGGCACTCCTCCCAGAGCACTGCGGAAAACCCACCGTTGGTCTGGTGCCTCAGCAGGGAGGACAGGATGTACTTTGCTACACTGGTGGCCAGGGGAGGTCAACACATTTAATATATGACTTGAGAAGATACTTTACACGAATTCTTCAGAATCAGAATCAACTCTTAATGCTAAAATCTGGCTGACCTAAATGCCATCGTTGCACTCTGTCATGCTCATCTAATGAGAATAGAAGGAACAGAGGTAGAACAGTGGTGGGGTCTTACCATTAGGACATGATCATCTCAGTTGTTCCTTCAATAATGTCTGCCTCCATAATGAATGGTCACTGTGTCCAGAGTGATCTCAGTATACATCCAAGTCTTATAAATATCAAGTTTATGGAATCTGTGTATGACATGAAAGCAAATGTAGGCCTAGATAGGTAAGCAGGATCAGGGACATCAGAGTCAGCAAGCACAGCATGAGCAGAAGAACTCTCATACTATGCTAGAACTGCTCTGACAGGAACAAGATTCTAGGAAAAGTTACTTCTAGATGAAGAGAGGTAATGGATTAGATCTCATATTTTTTTGCTTCTTTTAACAGCAGTTATTAACATTTATTGAATGCCAGCTATGCCAGAATTAATGTAGGTGCCGGAATAAAATATGAGAAAATCATGGTCACAATCTAATTCCCAAACTCTTGTATTGGGAAGAAAATATTGGGAGAAAGAAAGAAGGGAGGGGCATTTTATGAATGAGAATAGCATGGAAAAACTTTCCACATATAACTTAAATTGCTTGAATCTTAATAACTACTGTCAGGATAAATGCTTTAAATTTGAAATACATTTAATTCTGTTTTTTTTTCTTTTAAAGGATTTACATTAGATATCGCCTAATATGTTGACACAAATTTATGGGACACACATGCAACATGATATAGGACTTGCCCATGTAATTCCTAATTAGGATATAAATTGTTATTCTTAAAATTTATTATTTTACCATCATTCAAGAAACAACAGACATATATGTTCTTTTTAAATTTTTATTTATTGACTTTTAAATTTATTTTTAATCCTCACCCAAAGATATGTTTTTATTGATTTAGAGAGAAGAAGAGAGAGAGAGAGAGAGAGAGAGAGAGAGAGAGAGAGAGAGAAAGAGAAATGTCAATTGATTGCCTCTCACATGCTGTCCCTCCCACTATCAGGGATCAAACCCACAACCTGGATATATACCCTGACCAGGATTTGAACTCTCAACCCTTAGGTGCATAGAACAATCAGTTGGTTAGGTGCTCAACCAACTGATCTACAAAGGCTATTTATTGATTTTTGAGAGAGAAAGAGAGAGAGAACCATCAAGTTGTTCCACTTCATTGGCTGATTCTTGTGTGTGTCCAATAGGGGATCAAATCCACAATGTTGACGTATCAGGACAATCATCTAACCAACTGAGCTATCTAGTTAGGGCCAGATATATATTTTCTGTGATCTTCTTCTTTGGGAGCTTATTAAGTAATTTAGTTTTAGTATATGTTAAATTTACTATATGTACCTTTCAAAAATATTTCTAGCCCTGGCCAGGTAGCTCCGTTGGTTGGAGTGTCATCACATACACCAAAAGGTTGCAAGTTTGATTCCCCCCTCAGAACACATAACTAGGTTTCGAGTTCAATCCCTGGTTGTGGTGCATAGGGGAGGCAACCAACTGATGTTTCTCTCTCTTCCTTCCTTTCTCTCTAAAATCAATAAAAAAAAAAATATTCTCAGGTGAGAATTAAAAAAAAGAAGAAGAAAAATTGTTAACTTCAGAGAGGTTTTTTTTCTAAGCTTTCTTTTAAGGTTGAGCCTGATGTACTAACAGATTTCTCTAACAAGATCTGGAGATTAAATATCAGACAGTGCTTATGTGTAGGAGGTGAGTTCTTAGAATGATTTGGGTTTGGAGGAGGAGGAGTGTAGTGCTTCACTTCCCTCAAGGTTATTTTTCTCACTATAGAGAGAAAAAAAAATTGTTTTATGTAGCCATATTTTATCATTTATAACTGTGTATTTGATCTCTCTGCCATACTAATCTATTAAAATCTGTTAGAACACTTTTTAACTTGTATTTTTATTCAGGTGTTGTTTTTTTTTTGTAGGAAAAAGCATGGATTTTGCTGTTCTCAGTGATAACATTTTTTACATTTTAATTATTATTACCCATTAGGCAAGGTTATTTATTTATTTTTGTTAATCCTCACCTGAGGATATTTTCCATTAATTTTTAGAAAGAGTGGAAGAGACAGAGAGGAAACATTGATTTGAGAGGGACACATCAATTGTGCCTCCCATAGGCACCTGCAACTGAGGTACATGCCCTTGACCGAAATCGAACCCACTACCCTTCAATCTGCAGGCTGACGCTCTATCCACTGGGTCAAACTGGCTAGGGCTAGGCCAAGTTATTTTGATGGGCAAGTTTATTTTGTAGTATGCTTCTAATTTATATCTTTACTAGAGGCCAAGTGCACGAATTTGTGCACAGTTGGGCCCCTTGGCCTGGCTGGTCAGAGCCACTGATGGGAGGTTGGCCAGCTGCAGAAATTTGGCTGTGGGAGTGCCCTGGCACCAGGGGGAAGCTCCTGCATTGAATGCTTGCCCTCTGGTGGTCAGTGTGGGGCATAGTGACCAGTCGACCAATTGTTTGGTCATTTGGTTGCTTAGGCTTTTATATATGTATTACTAAAGGCCCAGTGCATGAAACTCATGCACGGGGGTATGTGTTCCTCAGCCCAGCCTGCACTTCTCCAATCTGGGATCCCTCGAGGGATGTCTGAATGCCCGATCCCACCTGGCGGTCGGACATCTCTCTCACAATCCAGAACTGTTGGCTCCCAACTGCTTGCCTGACTGCCTTCCTGATTGCCCCTAACCGCTTCTGCCTGCCAGCCTGAACACCCCCTAACCACTCCTTTGCCAGCCTGATGGATACCTAATTGCTCCCCCTGCTAGCCTGATTGTCCCTATCTGCCCTCCCCTGCAGGCCTGGTACCTCCCAACTGCCCTCTCTTGCAGGCCCAGTTGCCCCCAACTTCCCTTCTCTGCCAGCCTGGTCACCCCTAACTGCCCTCCTCTGCAGGGTTGATTGCCCCAACTACCCTCCCTTGCAGGCCTGGTCCCTTCCAACTGCCTTCCCCTGCTGGCATCTTGTGGTGGCCATCTTGTGTCCACATGAGGGCAGCCATCTTTGACCACATGGGGGCAACCATTTTGTGTGTTGGAGTGATAATCAATTTGCATATTACTCTTTTATTAGATAGGATATATATTGCCTTATTGG